ATGTTAACACATTCACAAAGTATGACGTATCACGTATGTTCTCTCTAAGCATGTGTTGACCGTGTATTGGGGTTCCATTGCACACGGAAGTCCAATCGGACGTGAAGCCATAAAATGTACTTGGGAGGTGACTGACGGCCTCCGATGGGGAAAATGACCACTTCGTCATAAATACGGTGGTTGATCGTGAGAACAACCGCCTAGTTATAGTGAATAGGGAAGAAGATAGCCACTTTAAAAATAACCTCTCAGCCGGATTGATTGCGGGACGAATAATTTGATATTTGGGGAAGGAGTCTGCTTCAGTTAAACATCATGGAGTTGTAGAATTGAGTTGAGTTGTTTAGTAGCTTTTCTAGTCGGATCGTCACCGTTCCTCTATTTGTCAATAGGTACCTTCAATATAAGAGATTAGGGCGAAGTCAGAAACTATCATTAAATTCTTTAAATATCTTATATCGTATCGGAGTCACTTACCACGGGGTAATAACGTACCACGAAATAAAGTTAGTCTGCAAGTTTCAAAAGGAGCTGTCCTTTGACTGTTTAATTTAACAAGTAATAATAACAATCACGATGGGAAAATATCAAATTAAAAGGTTACCGTTTACACAATCTCATTAAATATTTTTAAAGCTGACTTATATATTTTGTAACATTTTAATTTGTAAACAAGTATAATTTATATGTTGTATGTTTAAAAAGACGATTCCGGATCATTTATAAACAATATATTTAGTTTGTCTTATTGCCTGCGTATCTGATATTATTCTACAAAAATAAAAAAATAAAAAATAGTAGTTACATTACTTTTTTGTTTATAGTATCCCGATTTTTCTAGATATTATAAAATGGCTCCATTCAGTCGTTGAAACACGATATGTTCACTTAACCTATGTATTAAAAGGTATAAAAACGTGGCCTCCCGATCTTCCTAGTACTTTGAGCGGATCTTCATCACGTTGATTAGTCTAACATTATAAGTAGGTACTTTTAGAAGAATACCTATATACATTTCAGTTTAGGTTTAAGAAGTTTATATTACAAAAATGTCTATTAAATTAGACACCAAAAGTGATAAGGATCACTATAACAATTACATATCAGTGGCATGTCATATTTGCACTGTGACTCTGCGGGCCATAACTAGTTAATGATCTGTTTGCTGCTAACATTAATGTAAATTAAAAATCAGTAAATAGAAAACAAACAGCGGAATAATCCCAGAAAGAAGGACAAGGTTGAGTTTCTATGACCAATTCCAATTGATTTCTATTGGATTTTGTGTAAAGGTCTTTGAAAGGGCCGATTTAAAGTTGAAAATATCTAATATCCAATACGGATGTAATTTTCCATCAATTAATTTTAGTAAAGGTACATACTGTCATAAAATCTATACATATAATAAAATTGTAACTAAGCCGAATCTGTACATTAAATATTTTTTGGAAAATCTTATTGAAATAGACATTATTATCGATACCGAGGCCGAATCTATAGTTTTTAAAGTTTTTGTCTGTCGTCTGTCTGTCTGTTACCGCATCACGGAAAAACCACGGGAGGGATTTTTATGAAATTTGGTACGATGATAGCTGGTTATCCGGGTCAACATATAGGATATTTTTTACCGCGGGAAAATATCTCATTTCTGAAAAAAAATACAAAAACTGCAATGTAAGAGTATACTAATATGTAAAACCTAAGAATTTTTTTTTGTTAATCTGAACGCGGGCGGAGCCGCGGGCAATGCTAGTATATTATAATATGTGAATAAATATTTACCTAATAGTAAAGAAAATTTAAAAGATTTTAAACTATTGCTATCTGAAGGATTTTGAAAATTGCAAATTGACTTCTTAATTATTGTATACCGAATAAACCGATGCCAACAGATGTCACAATCAAAACAACGTCATTTATATTTTTATCATTTCATTCAACAAAAGAAAAATTCAATCTGTAATAACAAATCTGCAAACGCATTAGTGTCATAGATATCCGGAACTACCAAATCATTATTTAATTCTACTTTTGTCAAATATTATTACGCTGTCGGGCAACATTGTTTAGGTTCGAGAAATATAGTTTACTTAAAATAAACAAACAAAAAGTGCTATGCGAGAACCGCTATCCACCTCCTGGCTTCTTCATCGCGATGGCTTCGAATTGCTGTATAGTCATTCGGATTAAACATAATAACACGATTTGATATAATAAGAAGTAGTTAGGACATCTAAAGTTTGATTATATAGTTACGGTAAATAAAACTAATAAAACCTATTTAAAAACGATCATAGTGACGGCTCGGAGAGTTTCTTATATATGATGTATGTTTTCAAATAACTTTTAGGATAGTCTCATTCATAGCTATATGTTAGGCCTACGAGAGCGGCTAAGGTTACCGTGCTCAATCTACTGACAAAGGCAAGTGGCAAAACTCAGATGTCAGACATGTATTATCTTACGGAAGTGGCACATTCAATACCCGACAAGATCTACTTCTTGGATATAATGTCTCCTCTTGCTATAAATACTTTTAAATAAGAGCTTTATAAAATCATGTTTTACAACAGGTGTGTGAGTGTCCTGCATTTGTAAAAATATCATACCTATATCTATATATCGAAAATTCGATATCAGTAAGTACAAAATAAAAAATAAAGTAAATAAAATGTTAATCAGCAATTTGTGTATATCACCATAAACCATTAGTTCTAATGGCGTGACATTTAAAATTATAAAAGCAAATCATTACAAAATATAAATGCGCATTGAAAAATTAATTAGTAATGCGATTTTAATACAATATCAAAAATAATTGCGCCAGTGTTTCGTACTTGACTTTTTTTCTTGTTGAAAAAATATTTATATTTTGCACATTGTACTTACTTTTAAAAAAACGTTAAGTTAATATATTTTTTTAAACATATTTAAGCTTATTGACGCACTCGAGGGTAAATCGCTAGTAAAAATTAAAAATTATATTTAAATATGAGAGGTTCACGTCTCTTACCTTATGAAGCCAAAAACAATCATGGGAAGATATCAAATTGTGTTATTTGTCACAATTTTTATACTTAGCCAAATAGGCATTTTACCATAACAATTACAATTAATGTATATATAAGAGTGTAACCAGTAAATATGTATATAGTGACATATACCTTATCTAAGTGGTACCAACTTAAAAGGAAAAATTATAATATTGTTAACAGGCGTGTCAACAAAAATACCAATTGTAGAGGCAAAGAAGGTCGACCCGTATGGTTCACGTTAACGTGACGCACAACGTAATGTTCAAATATTATGCACCACCTAAAGCTTTATCGAAATACATCTTTTTATTAGTATTTTAAAATTAAATCAATTTACTTTCGCCAAAATTAAAACGTAACATTTATAAGTTTAAAACTGAAATGCAAATATTTTTTTTTATTTAATTAGGCAAAAGTATGACCGTATATCTGACATGAACTATTATTTGCATAGAAGTTATAAAAAAAATTAAAAATACATTCTACGGTATTAAGCGAATGCCATTAGAGAAGTGTATCACAATGTCATTGTGTAATGGCGGCGGCTGGCACCAACAAGAGATGATTACACGACAGGCTGCATTACATGATGATCATTGTTTGCCATTCCACTATAGCACTGTGTATTGTCATTTGTCACTTTACTGTGTGATTTTTATTCTTTCCCATTATTCATACAAAAAGTTACCTTGTTATTATGCGTATCATTTAATATTGTAAATCCGACACAATTTGTCTATGTTGTTAGTTCGTCTCACAACACAGAACGAATCGACTTCGTTTTTGCGTAGAAATAGATTGTTTTGATATTTTTCTTGGAAAAATGGTATACTGCAAAGTTATGAGGGTCGCTGAATGTGCCTAATTAGGGTCTGAGCGAAGTCAGGGCTAATCATTTATTATATTATATATATTTTTTCCAAATTAATAATTTGAAGTATTTCGAAAACCCAATAGTGCATTAAATTTATCTTAAAATATTTGATCCATTGCTATGGTATTTACTCGTATATTAAAAAAATGATATTGTATGTAATTAATAATATAATTATATTAAATTGAACGTTATTATGTTTATTTACACCTGAAAGGAAAATGACTAAGTGCTTGAATACTTATTTAAATATTGTTTTTGATTAAACACGACATCTTTACATCACATTCTACCATCTGTAGTTGTTTTTAGATATATTTTTTTTATATTTTATAAGTACGTGTTTTTATGCACATTACGTGCAACACACTTTTTATCACTACATTTATGTTAAAGAATATAAATACTTTATAATGAATAGTATCAAACTGAGTAGATTAATTACAGATTAGGAAGATATGGGAGCTCTGATTTGATAGTAGACAAATACTATGCACAATGTACCAACATACATATATAAGAATTAGGAACTGAATTACTAAAAATAGAATAAAATAGTAATAGAAAACATTCACAGCTTAATCTAGCACAAAAATAGCAAGTCATCAAGTTTCCTAGGGGTTGTGCAATACACATGAATCACTAGAGGTGCTCAATTTGTTCGCGCTACGACATTAGATTACACATACAGAACGTGACTCAGCATTTCAATATTCTCAATAAAATATCGATTATAATATGTGCAAGAAAACATCGATTATACAAGTTATGTTTAATATAAAGACGACAAAAATCTCGTATACGTGCGAGACCACACGGACTGACATTAACTAAGGTATGTTGATAACGCGATTAAATCGTCAGAGTCAATAAACGAAATCGATATTTATGAATGGCATAAACGTAAATAAGCCAAAGTCACGTTAGTATTTCGGAGTCGTCAGACATTGTGGTACATGCAGTGTGCGAATTCTAAACATTCAGGAGTCTATTGTTTGCATTCATTCATATTTCCGCAATCTACGTTTAGGTTTGGGGTGTTACATCTAATATGGGTAGAGAAACACTGGCATCGCTCTAGAGCTGGGTACCTCGGGCTGGGGCTCCTCGCCGAGGGAGTCCCCCAGGGCTTCGGCCTGGCTCTTCATTATAGAATATATTTTCACGTACGGCGCCTTCAGCAGCTATGCGCAATTGTGTAACGGTTAGAACTCTTTGGGTCAAATGTTATAACTCATTGTAGCGGTGAAATACGTTGTGTTTAATTGTTTGTATGAAGGTTGAAAGATTTTTAACAGTGCAAGTTTACTTGATAAAACTTGACCCAGTCTGGCTGATGTATTGTAATACATGTGTGTCTTCGCGTGAGAGAGAGAGATAGACAACAATGTCGCTCGAAATTATCATCAGTTATAATTGTGACTTATTTATGAACGTATAATATATGTACAATATTATTTTAAATTACATAAAATCTTATCATCTTATCGATGTTTTAATTATTGCCGGCTTTTAATTAAAGAACCAAAAAAATATGTTATAAGATAAGAGACCGTTCATAAAATATGTTAGCACTCAGGGGGGTTTCGCTTACTGTGAAAAGATGTGACATAGCGTGACGAAACAGGGGGGTCTAAAAAAGTAAAATTTTGCGTGACGTATTTTATGAACGGTCCCTAAACTACTTTCATTTTTTTATAATATATTATTAGTCACGTTTTAAAAAGATGTCAGTATAATGCATAAGAAAATCATTACCGGCCCATTATTTCATTTAAACGTTCATTACGCAACAGAAAACAATGCCAGTATATTTTTCCTCGTGTGAACCTATTCGTTCTAACTTTTGTATTAAGTAACTGATTATATAAAGTAAAAATTAATTAATTTTTAAAAATAATACGATAAACTGGTCTTATATTTATAATTCGTATGTTAGTTCGTCACATGTTCAAAGTGTACTGCGTCATGATATGTGAGGTAGATGCGTTGTCGTCGAGTGTATTAATAAGTAGGCGCTGTTTGAAGTGAATTAGACACATTAGAATAAATAACATATTTTTGATAATAGCAGATAATATATAACAATATAAAAACTTACCTCCCACGATTCTCTTGTAATGTCCGACACATCGCCGGTACTGCCCGAACGTTCCTAAAAAAAATTTAAATATTTAAAAATGGTCGTCACACATGATGAATTAGTTTCGTAAATGCCAAATCATATATTTATAAAGAGAACTATTTGTTTATTTATACGTTTTAACGTTTAGTTTTAATTTTTCAGAGATGAGATATTTTCCTGCAGTAAAAAGCATACTATATGTTAACCCGGACAACCAACTATCATCATACCAAATTTCATAAAAATCTGTCCAGTGGTTTCCTCGTGATGCGGTCACAGACAGACAGATAAAAATTCTAAAGACTATAGATTCGGCCTCGGTATCGATAATAATGACTATTTCAATAAGATTTTCCAAAAAAAAAGCATAACGATGGCACAGTTATAAAATTCCGCATAAATATACCTAGTCTTTCTAACAAATATTTCGTTGGTAAACGTAAAAAATATCTTATCAAATGTATGTAGAAGATATAGTATAATATACAACGTATACATTAGAGCAGTAGTTAATTAAGGTAAGCTTAGAATCTCTTATCTTAATGACTGATGATGTGAGATAAAGATATTAGTGTGAAAGATTTACATATTAGTATCTCATCTAATATCAATATTATATTATGTATTTATTATATGCTTAAATACAAAGTTAGCGGCAATTTACTCGCAATCACAAAACCAAAGCTTCAGTTTGCATAGTGTTGTATACGGACAGAAGAATAATATGTAATTACTTATTTCAATTATTAAATATCTAAATTATGTAGGAGTGTTTTAATCGTCTTATTATAATCTGTCGAGGCAATCTCTGATAGATAAAAATTCTAAATGCCGTAGATTTGACTACCAAACAATAAAAATTACAATATTAATTTTGATAATGTTCTCCTGACCAATTCCGGCCACGGCGGCCAATCTCATTGAGACGAGCCAACTGCGCAGGAGATATTATAGTGCACAAGTATACGCGCCGACACAACGTGCACTCACTATTCCTGTCTCTCTCATACTCTGGTGGGACAACTGCTCGACACGACCAGTGAGAATTAAGGCGCAGGACCGACGGCTTTACGTGCTCTGCCTCGGCACGGGGGTGAAACACCGCCAACTTCCCAACTCCGAGCTCTTACTGAGGCTTACTATACATAAAGACTCAATAACTAAACTTGGCCCGACCCGGAACTCGAACCCAGGACCTCCGGGTATGCAGCCATATATGGTAGCCACTACACTACCGAGGCAGTTATTTTTTTTATTAATTTTATAAAAATATTTAATATATAACTTTAGCTTTGATAATAATATTTTTAGATGTATAGGTAATCTGCTATGTTTATAAAATAGCGACTCATTTAACATGAATTTAAAATTTGAAAATCAAAATTCCGTGGTTGAGCTAAGCCTTTCAAAAATCAAATCTAATTTAGCCTACAATTAAATCAAAACTTTAATACGATATTTATTTTTATAGCATATATTTATGCTATAAGTTCTTTTCATATCTGTCACAAGGCCAACTTTTTTTTGTAAAGAATTAAAAGTACGCTCTTTGTTTATACATATACAAATCTCAACTGGTTGTAGTGAGAGTAGAACGTAATATTTAAAGGTCAAATTTGACTGGTTTTCTTATTTTAACGTGAAGGCGTGTACTAAGGAATTTCAAGGACATCCAACCATATACGTCTACATATGTGTGTATGTAGGGATGCATGATGTCCTCCTGATAGACTTTCGGTCACAGAGGCTATTCTGAGACTAGTCATCTAATCGGGAAATATTATTATAGTGCAATGCACGCAACACGTGCACTCTTTTCCTTTCACTCCTATAGTTTGCAGAGACGGCCTCGAGACAGCTCCTACACGTCCGGAGGGAGATCAGTGTAGAACCAACTTCAGTAATCCGAGCCCCTAGAGTGATTCTCTAGACAAAAACTATTTTTAACATTTTTTGGCTCGAGCCGGAACTCGAACCCATATCATTTGTGTACACATGCTAACCATTAGATAATTGAGTAATTATGCTATCTATGCATGTCTGCGATTGTATAATATGTATATTGGTGTGCATGTATATGATTCTGCGTACTTGGCTGCAGACGCGTGTATGTATGTTTGTGTTGTACATATCTCCCTCTACGACTCAGTGTACGTTTGTGTGTTCATATTACCTTCTGGCCAGGCTTGGCGTCGTCGTCGTCCCACTCGGTGTCGCTGTCGATGAGCTCGTAGCCGTGCGCGGTGACGTCCCGCAGCGGCCCGTACCGCTCGGGCACCCAGTGCGTCAGGAACTTGAATAGATCGTCCACCCTGTACCGATGAGAATAATTATTAAATTGTTTTATAAATTACAGGATAATTTTTTAATGTGGGGCTCATATTTGAGAATTGTATTTTTATGGGTAGAATTGAAAAAGTTATATACATATATGAGGCATAAAATATATGACACAGTCGATCACCATCAATAAATTGTTAATAAAAGTTGAATACCAAAGTTATCCTTGTATCTTTATTAATTAATAACATTATGGAACTTATTTACTGAATATTCAAATAACAAAACCACAATCTACTTATCCATACAGTATCTAAGGATGGCAATCGTGGGAGGCATGTGAGGTGCGATGTGGGCGAGGCGAATTCGACTGTCATGCTTATACAAATTTATATGGATTTTTAAACTGTGATAAAAGTATACAATAATATAAAAATACAATCTCCATCTCACCGATTGCGAGGAATGCCGAACCAATACTCGGGCTTCATGCGTTTCCGTCCGTAGGACATGAGCGGCGTGGAGCGCGGCAGCGGGCGGCCGGCCGGCTTGCCCATGCGCAGGCGCAGGTACAGTGGCGGGTCGTCGCTGGGCCGCGCCGGCCGCGGGATCAGCTCTGATACACATTATTAAAAAGTTAATATCTATATATAAATAGGCAAAGACAAAACAGTTCCGTACCCTTTTCTTCTTTATTTGCCAACCGATTTTGTTTTGTTTAGTGGCTATTGACGAGCTTTAATGTTATAAAAAAATATGGAAACAGTTTTTTAATATAGATAGATAAATTCATTAATATTATTTATATATTCATATTATACATTCATGTTTTCCTCAAATTTTCACTAATATGGTCGAATTTTGACCGCTCAGCGGACATCTATGTCTAGTATTATAAATTCAAAAGTTTGTATATTTGTTTGTAACTCCTTCACGCTGAAACGGCTGAACGGATTTGGATTTAATACTCTGATAGACTATGAAATGGAGTCACACGCTACTCTGGCCCCTAGTATATTTTATATTTAGTGAGTCAGTGACATTAAAGTTAAAAGCTTATATAGTATTTTTATGCAAAGGATATCATTATTTATAACCCATTTTTTATTATATCTGTAGACTTGAGCCAAGTTTAAAAAAAATTAATTATTTCCAACTCACTATCAAATGAAGCAAAGAGATCAGGCATGTCATCCACCGAGACCATGCTGCGATAATCAAGCCGCGGCTGGGTGGCGCTGATGACCTTGGCGTGGGAGCGACCGAAACCACCGAGCGAACTGCGCCTGTACATATACATTTAAAATCAATCTTGTGTCTACAATCCTTATTTTAAAAGTTTAATATTTCAATAATTAATTATCAATTAAAAATTGCATACAAATTCTGCACCTGCAATCATAGAATACACTGACAAAAGTCATCAAACTTGATTTCTTCAATATATATAGTTTATAGAACTAAACATGCTAAAGTCTGTAATAAATATCCAAAAAGGTGCCAATATAATGTAAAATGAGTGAGATTTATGACACAAATCACAAATGAAGACCTCAATATTAAATACTAAAATGATTTACAACAGATGATTTGATTAACCTTCCTAAGTCCTAGCGGTAAGCCGCAGGACGGCACGTCACAGCGACAGGAAGCCAACAGGGTATATTATCAAGGAGTTACGGAAAAATTTAAAACCGACTCATATCTTTTGCTTCTATATATATTTTGTAAAGAAACTATAAGTAAAACTTAGTATTACGCAAAAGTAAGGTATTACCAAAATTACAATTCGATATGTGTCAGTTTTGTAAGGAAAATTTGAATAAACAATCGATAAGAACAATAGCTCGATCTAATCTAGAAAAGCGTGTCGAATCGGCACACCGCCAGTGCATTAACAATAACTGTAGTAACAAACATGGTACTTTCTAGAAAAACGGTCTAATTTTTCATAGATTCTATCTTCCTAACACATATACATCATGCTATTCGACGTTTAAGGTTATATAATTTTAAGAAGCTCCCGTTGAACTTTGGATTTAAGTACTTTAATTATTATTATTTTTTCAATGAAACAAGAACAGCAGATCTAGCGCAATAAACTCGTTATTGTACTATTTAATCCAAAATTCAATATACACGAAACAGTTATAAGTAAAAAATAGTTAGTGGGACCTAATAACAATATAAGTGGGACAAATAGAATAGAAGAGACTAAACACATGAAACCACATTGACATCGTAGAGATTTAAACAAAAATGCCTTTTTAATCAATTTTGTAGCAATATACTTGTTACACTGCTATTTTATATTTATAATTATTAATTCCAAAATAACATACTAAAATATAATTTAAGTAGGTCAATTCGGAAAGTGTCAAAGTGGTTTGAAGATAGCCATCAAAGGCAAAACATAACGGAGTGGCACATCGACTGCAGCGGCGGCGCACGTACCCAGACAGGACTTCACTGGGCGCCTCCTCCGAAGGGGTTTTACTCAGGAACAAACCCGTACCGAACTCCACTAGGTTCATTGGCGAGCTTTGGTCAATGAACGTAGGGAGACGGACATTTGGTACATCCCGGTTAGCATCCATGGTAGCAAAAGAAAAATTTAGAATGGCAACATTATTAATTTTTTCCACATGCATGTTTGTGCAGTTTTTTTGGGTGACAGATTGAATTGTGAACTAAGATTATCAGTTGAGACGAAACTGGGTGTACGTGAATACGAAATATTGGTATTGCGGAACTTGATGCGGATTAAGTTAGTGGAGTACGGTGAAAAAGAAATGAGAATGACGTAAATGTTTCGTAACAATGTCTTATTGTTAGTTATATGGTGTAATGTAAATTACATAAAAATTATGAATCAAAGTAAACAAGTGATATGTGTAAGATAATTTTATCGTAATACTATTTAGTATACAATTTTTAAAGTAAATATATTAACTGATGTGGAAGTTAGAAGTGTTGAATTTTTTATTACATCAATATAAAATACGTATTTTATGTATAGAATCAAATAAAATGCTGCAATATAAGTATAAATAAGTCATAAAATTACAATTGATTTTTATTATCTTTAACGTAAACATTTGTATCTTATATATAGGTAAATATTTAAAAAAAACTTATAGTCCATACCTGTTGAATACTTTGGAAAAGACAGAGGTGGAGTTTTGCGTATCAACGGAAGATGGTAAAGAGTCACTTTGAGAGGGCTGCGCGCCGTGCGGGCCCTCGCCTGTCAACCCCTCCACCCAAGACAGGGGGTACGATAGACGTTTTAACATCTAAAAACAAAATTATAATTATATACATTATATTCAATACAAGCTATTTAAACCGGAATAATTTACTATTATTGAACAATTATTATCTATACTAATTTATAAAGCTCAAGACTTTGTTTGTTAGTTTAACGTGCTTATCTCAGAAATAATCTACTCGATTTAAAAAAAAAACATTATTATATTTTAAAGTATACTTCTTGATTATTTAACATCATACTATGACCCTTAGTAATTATACATAAATAAATAACAAGGGCGGCGCGCTATAAATAAATAACGTTAGTTGAACACGTAGCTGAACTCCGATGTTACAGTTAACCTGTAATTAACTGTAACATTGTGTTTATATTATTAAAACTTGTAAACAAGTTATACCGAACAGATAAAAGAATTACTTACTATAATATTTAAAAAAATATAATTACGAAATAATTGTACATATAATATATAAAACTAGCGGTTCACCCTCGCTCCGCTCGGGTTCGTCCCTACTTACGTTTTAACGTTTAGTATAGATTTCTCAGAGATGAGATATTTTCCAGTAGTAAAAAGTATCCTATATGTTGACCTGGATAACCAACTATCATCATACCAAATTTCATCAAAAAATCCCTCCAGTGGTTTTTTCGTGATGCGGTCACATACAGACAAATTTTTTAAAAACTATAGATTCGGCCTCTGTATCGATAATAATGTCTAATTCAATAAGATTCTCCACAAAATATTAAATTAATGTACACATTCCGCTTAGTTACAATTTTGTTATATGTATAGTAATATTACATCTTACCCTATACTACAATATAAACCTATGTATATCGTATTTCTTCCTTCTAGTTGAAAAGATTCGCCCTATAAGTAGATACATAAATGTGCAATTATATAGTCATTAATAGTAATATAACACAATAAAAAATAGAAACATCCTACTAGATATTTCCAGCTTCACGTCGTTATAAGACCATTAGTGTTAATAATAATTTGTTGGAATTTTTAGCACACTAATTAAATTTAATATACAATGTTTATGTATTATTCCAATATTTTACATATTTTTCCAAGAGGCCATTAGGCCATTATTCAATTAAAGTTGTTTGTGATAATGAATTCAAAATTTCAATAGAACTCAGAAAAACAAATACTTACAATCAACATTTTCTTTAAATTACTTATATCAAGTCATTATGATGCGGCATATTTTCTCTATGTATGGGAATTATAAAGGATCCCTGCCATAAAGCAGAGTCGCCAAACCAAATACGTATGAATTATGTGTATAAAATTTAAATTAAGATATATTAATTAACTTATTGCATTTGATATAAATAATTATTAAAATGATAAAAAAAGGTTTATGAAAGACATTCTAGGTACTATCCTCATGTATGTATAATACATATCTGTATAATCTGTCTGTTATGCCATCAAAGTTCAGAAACAGATTTCAATACTGTTTGATTATCATTATATCATAACTTGCGTCCCTAGATGTCATTCGCATTAATAACATAATGGACGATTTTTTTTCGCAAAATGCCTATAAAACTATAGCCTAGAACCTTCTCAGATAATCCTCCGGTAAACATCGTACGAAAATCCTTGCTGTAATTTCTGAGATAAGCCCAAGCAAACACAAACTTCGTAATTTGCAATATGTAGTAATTTTACATAATAAATTACAATTTACAGTTTCAATATGCCCACCTTATTCTTTTTGTCGGGTTTCCCAGGATCCTCCTTCTGGTTACCATCGAGCGAGAAAGAGACGGCTGCCTGCTTGCGTGGTGCCCTCTCGTTCTCTCCGAGCGGCGGCGCCGACAGCGGCGGCTCGGCGCGCGGCAGGCACACCGGCGGCACCCAGTCCGCGGAGAGGACGATGTCCGCATCGCTGTATACCTAGATCAGCCATAATAATTGTATAACACTAGTATCACATAATAAAAATCATTAAAAATATATTTATGGAAAAAAGGAAAAGAAATTGTTAATAAAAGAAAAAGAATTTCAACATCATTTAAAAACAATGCAACTCCATATTCACAAGTAAAATTTGAAGAATACGTATAATCATACGACAATGCTATGCTATCACTAAGGCTGTAAAAAATCATTGATAGTATTGATACGTAATGAGGAAAGAATTAGGAAGAACATGGAAGAAAACAGGAAAATGTAACAGTACATTTAGAATATAATCAACAACCAACATCATCAAAAAAAGACCATCTCTGAAAATGTAAGAAATATTGGACGTAACATAAAAGGAACGAAAACAAACGTTTTACGTTTATTCTTAATTAAGACATTTGAACCAAGGTACAAAGTCTTGAAACCAACACCCCTCATAGTAATCACTGAACACTAGAGTGACTGAAAAGACTGACACGTGTAACCGTATACCCTGTCTCACCTCATCGGTGGATTGACAAGACGCCATGTCACTATCACGGTGAATGGCAAAATAATTTAAAAACAGCGCCTCGTAAGTCGAATCGCGATGCCAATCGTACATGGATAAATCCATCTCAGGCATCTCGTATATAGTTTCTATTTCGTGGTAATACTCGTGATCTACACCATGGTGATCCTAAAATTGTTAATAATTATAGTTTTACCAATATAGTTTTAGATTTTGTGCAGACCTTAGAAGATTTGTCGCTGTATAGTGTTTATTCATATAGGCAAATTATATTAATAGGGTTAGTTATATTTGTACATTATGTATGAGCAATCATTTGTTTGAATATCCCAAATAATGTGTATATTATGTATGTTTCAATAACAATGAATATGCAATAAATAGGAATGGGTTGAGGATTATATGAAAAATAATGAACTAATCAAAATACAAATTTAAAATTATTTTAATAATATGATATGATAATAATATAAATAATAAGTTAGGTCAAATCGACGTCCAAGATTACATAGTTACAAGTGAAGCTAATAAAACCATGTTAAAAATAAAATTAGATATATGGAACCATAATGTATATACATAAATACGTAATTTACTTAATTTATGTAACAGAGAAGCAAATGTACATTTTTTTTAATTATGTTTGTCAATTAATTTGTCCGTCGCACTTATAACACATTATTTGTTAATCAGGAAATAAATCAATGGAACAAAACCATAGCTTGTCATTTTAAGCTTTTCAAAGGTAATGTTTCGATTAGTAAAGATATATTTAGAGTCTGCAGATTGAATAATATAAATGGGGGCGGAGACATAGGAAATATTCCCTCCACGACCGCGGACACCCCGAGGTGTCAGTTAACAATAGATTTCTTAGAATTTTAATTAATTTCTTAGAAATTTACCTGAAGGTGATATAATGTAATGTGCATGTAATTATTGACGTGTGAAAGTTTGTATGTAATACGAGTGTTGGAACGTCTGTTTGGTTAAATGGCATTGAGTGAAACTTAGCATGAATCCACCGTGCCTACTACGCGCACAGAGTCGCAGGCAAACCCAAATAAACAATAAATACCAAGTCACCTTTTTAGAGGTATTAGGCGTGACGTGCAACAGCGGGTCGCGTATGTCGATGCCCGAGTCGTGGTAGGAGAGCTTGACGAGATGCGCGGCGTCGCGCGGCTCCTCCTCGGCCTCGCCGTCCGCCACGCTGCCCGCGCGCTCCTCCGAGCCCTCCGCGACCGAAGCTTCTAGACTCTCCTCTTTACCGGCGTCTGCGCTCGATGATACCTGGTTATAGTTTTAATTTTTGGTTTTTTAACGTGATTTTTAGCATACAGATATTAAACATCTGTCATTTTTATTTTTCAAACCCAATATTCCTATTTTCTAAACTTAATAATAATCAAATGTGATAAGTTTTGGGTGTTTTAAAGTAAACATCATCTGTGGTTGGAGACATATTTTATAAGAATAATAAAATATTGACTACACTTATAATAAAAACTTGACTTAATGGGTGATCGACCTTAAATGGGAAGATACATAAGTGTTTTATATAAAGTAGGGCTTACACTGGACTTAATGCTATATTATCCTATACTATATTACGCTGCATTATACTATGCTTAATATATAAACACTTTACACTTCAATAAACTTAACGTCGTTTGAGAAAATACCAAATACTATTATACGGTTACTTTTCATGTTGAAAAGGCTGGACGGATTTGGATGTATACAGATAGACTATGACTTGGTCTAACATATAGGCTATTAGGCATCTACACATCAGAGGACCCATCCGAGCAAACCTAGGTTCTAATAGACATATAAATATGAACATTAATATAAAATCACTCTGCGTACCTCGCTTCCTTGATCAATAGACATCCTGTCTTTGCTTGGGATTGCCCAGTGGTGGTCTAGTAATGATTTTCGCCTTTCTTCTATAGTTTGTTGCTAAAAATAAAAACAAACATGTTTAATAATAATTTATATTTAATGCATAAATTAACAGTCACCTTTGACTATGACTTGTCAGATACAAATAATATGGCATGCACGATGATTAACACGAGTATATATTTTTATCTTTATATTGACTTACTTTGCAATAATTTGTTTAATAAGTACAGTAAATAAATGATAGCATATTAATAGCCAACTGCTCTCAATAAGATAACCTGCTTCAATATATATTTAACGTCCATCTCTTGAGATATTACAAATTCCAAGTTGTTATGATAGTAAAATAATATTAAAAAAATTTTGATGACTAAAAAAAGAGTATATATAAAATCTGTTATAAGTCCTCGTCGTCAATAAAGATATCCAAGAATCCTTCACGACCTGCATCAGGTCAATGGTCCACATTTTAAAAAACTTTAGATTTGGCTAAGAAGAAAGATGGTCAATAATTTTTTAACAGGATTTTTATCACCAATTCTGACCAACTTCAAAGAGGAGTCGGCACTTAATTGGGTTATATAATTTTTTTTCTGTGAGTACATCTTTAGTTATGTGATTCTGAGGAAGACGTCAGTTATGAATCAATTTTTATATTTTTTACAATAAATACTGCATAGTCCTTTTAAAATAAAATAAAAAAACTATGGAATAATTACTCTTATTGAAGAAAAGAAACGCATTACTGCTAAACAGTTCCGTTACGTTTACTGAACCTTTACTTTTTCTTAAACATAACGCTTTTATTAGTGTAGAACATTATCTAGTGTTGCAAATAACAAGTTTCAGTTTATACTTTTGCAGTATAACCATAGCTATTGTGTTATTGTATTTTTGGAGCACGTCCTTTAATTCTCTTTGCTATGCCACCATAGTGACGTTATCACCTAAAAATATGGTAGAATTAACTTTAACAACCCGCACTTGGCCAGCATGGTGGACAATGGCCCAATTCCCCTCGTACCTCGGTGGTTTAGTGGCTAGCATGTACGGCTGCACACCCGGAGGTCCTGGGTTCGAGTCCCGGGTCGGGCCAAGTTTAGTTATTGAGTCTTCCTGTACAGTAAGTCTCAGTAACAGCCCGGAGTTGGGAAGTTGGCGGTGTTTCACCCCCGTGCCTCGGAGAGCACGTAAAGCCGTCGGTCCTGCGCCTTAACTCTCACCGGTCGTGTCGAGTGGTCGTCCCACCGGAGTATGAGAGTGACAGGAACAGAGAGTGCACTTGTGTCTGCGCGTACACTTGAGCACTATAATATCTCCTGCGCAGTTGGCTAATCTCATTGAGATTGGCCGCCGTGGCCGGAATCGGCTAGGAGAACATCATCATCCCCTCGTACTCAAGGGAGGGCCGCGAAGCGTGCTTAGCAGTGGGACGTTAAAAAGGGCTGAATACATACATACATACAAATAACTTCAACATAGTGTACCTGTAGAGGCGTAGGAGTAACGAGGTCTCTATCGAAGGCCTTGGGGAAGGCGGCGCCCCCCCTCTCCTCCGCGTCCAGCGAGGCGGGGCGCTCGTCGCCCGCGTCCCCCGCCGCGCCCGCCTCGCCCGCCGCCTGCAGCTCGGGGAACGTTTCATCCTGGAGATTGAACATTTATCATTATTTAATTAACTCTTGTGTTACTGACGACTTACACTTGCTTTGCTCGCAGATGTCCTTGAGTGCCTTTCGTATTTATAATCTATACATATAATAAAATTCTAACTCAGTCGAATCGGTACATTAAATATTTTTTTTGGAAATTTTTATGGTAATAGTTATTATTATCGCCACAGAGGCCGAATCTATAGCTTTTAGAATTTTTGTCTGTCTATCTGTAACCGCATCACGAGAAAATCACTGGACAGATTTCGATGAAATTTTGTATGATGATAGCTAGTTATCCGGATCAACATATAGGATACTTTTTACTGAGGGAAAATATCTCATCTCTGAGAAATCTGTACTAAGCGTTAAAACATAATTAGGGACGAACACGAGCAGAGCGAGAGTGAGTTGCTAATATTATATAAAGGTAGCGTCATTTTTTGACAAATTCTATTATTATCAGTAGCCTAAGTGTTACTATAGGTCACGGTCATTATGATCTATCTATATATTAAATTTTATTAAAATCCGTCAAGCTATTTGAACTTGAAGAAGTAACAATTCTATATATAAAATACAAACTTTCGCATTTATATAAGTGGTGTGATCAACAACATACGGCTACATTTTATCACCACACACATACCGTACACATGCCGTTGCTGTATTTATATTAACTGTTAAAAACACATAAATCTTACTCTCCAATATTGTTAAGACATTTACTTTTTCAACGAGTATATAACGTTATCGACGGAAAGCAAAAAGTAATAAATTGTAACTACTTCAAATTTATGACGCCATAAAAATAAAAATAAACTTACAAACTAAGGCTATGATAACGAGAAAACACTCACTTTGACTAGAAGGGAATCCTTTCCGGGCGAATGTTCGGATTTATTCATGTAGTAAATTTCAGCTTGCTCCGTTCTGAAACGTATATCACCATGAAAATACCATAAATATATGTACTTAACAGAGTTAAGAATGCGTCGACTAATAAATGCATAAGTATATATTCACAGCCGTAATGATGTAATTGGATTTGCTTTAAAACTAAATAACACAAGAAATATGAATAAGGTATAATTTTAAATAGGAAATAAACAAAAAAATATCAATAGTTCTTAAACACTATATTATTAATATATTAGCCAATTACCCTCGTTTCGCTCAGGTATAACCATAGGTTCCCAACACTAGCACAATAGCCGAAACATTGACGTGTATGTGTAGACGACACATTGACGTCTACTTGCTCTGCCAGCGGTCGCGGGTTCGAGTGCCGTTGGGGGCATTCACTTGTGTGATGAGCAGGAATATTTGTACTCGCAGTCATAGGTGTTTATCTGGTCTCCATAACACAAGGCTCGTAGCTTACCATGGAACTAGATGGTGCTGTATGTTAATATCCTAACATATTTATTTGTTACTGACAACTCATAGTCTGTCTATGTACTTGCACATTCGTTTGAGCGTGAAGTAGTAACAAACATATGCACATAATTCACGTTTATATAATAGTAGTCCAACTGTCAATGTAGACGTCATAAAAATATATTTAAAAAAAAGTAAAAAAGTAACCCACTTGTGCGTATTGTGGTCCGGTCCGTGAGTGCGCATGTGCGCGATATCGTAGAATATAGCTGCGTTGACCACGTACTCCATGGGCGCGATTACACCGTACGACTCGGGCCCGTGCTCCATCACGAGTGTATCGGACACGTTCGGGTCGAACATCACCGCGTTCGGTGTGACCAGCAGCACCCCGGACACAACGCCCTGTAGTCAATTAGATGGAAAATATTAAACTATAAACATTTAAATATAAATGAATATAATAAACTCGTCCCCATTTTCACCCCCTTGAGGGATGATTTCCGGAATAAAAAATATTCTATGTCCTTCCCAGGGTCTCAAACTATCTTCTTACCAAAATTCATCTAAATCGGTCCAGTAGTTTTTAAGTTTAATCATTACAAACAAGAAAATATACAAATCTTTCCTCTTTATAATACCTAGTAGTAAAGAAATGTAGATTATATTATACTCAATGAAAAATTAATTTCAAAGTTAGAAAAATCCAAATTGCACAATAACTCATACAAACAAATATAACAATACATTAGTGTTAAACTAAATCTATTAACTTTAGGTTTTGTATTAGTGAAAAAGCTCAACAATCGCGCGCATTCGCCACAGCCAGACAGACGTATACTAATTATGATTGATGTATTAACAAAACCTTTTACTTTTACAGAAATGCGAACAAATGTAAAACGATAAATTGTTAGTTCACCTTCAAGGTAGTTTTTGCTAGGAAAATTTGCATTTAAAATGCATTTACTAACTGTTCACCGTACACCTGATCTCATTTATCAATGACGATTTCTATTTTCCTCTCGTAATTCGTTAGACGGGAAAACATTTAGAAATATCATAAGATATACTTGACATATTATATGTAGACAGACTGAGTAAAAAGAATTTTATATAAATATATAAAGTTATTTTTTGTATTTTTATTTGTTTGCAAGCGCTAATTTCTGAAACTACATACTGATCCGATTCGATAATTTGTTTTTGCATTACAGAGTACAATAATCTGGATACTCGTAATATAATATGTAGTAATATGTCTTATTTTATAAATATAACAAATTCACAAATTACCTGTCCGTCGGTGATATGTCGCACATTGATTTTGAGGAAGCGTTGCGGGCCGCTGCTGCTGGCCGGCGCCTCGGGGGACACTGGTCGGAGACTGTCCAAGATCTCTGTGAAGAACAATAGTTTTTTTTAATAATACCAGTAGTTTAAAATATGAATATTGTCTGTCTAATTTTGTGGTTGCATTCTCTAAATATCTCCAATGCGTATAGCACACGCTACGGCATCCGTGCCATACATTATTTAGGTAAAATTATTTTAAATATCCGTGTCTAAAATTAATTTTTTTTAAAATCCCCGACCATCTTGGACCGATTTTCCTCAAACATAGCTAAGAACACTCCTGACTAATTCACCTTTCAAACAAAAAACAAAATCCAAATCGATTCATCCGTTCGGGAGCTACGATGCCACACACAGACACGCCAAACTTATAACACGCCGCCGTTTTTGCACCGAGGTTCAAGACCAGTATAAAGAAGCGTAACGAAAAAAGGGTAAGTCAAACAAAAATTTAAATAATGCGAATTAAATATTCAATAAGCAATTAGATTTCTTCACCTAAGTATAATATAATTAATAATATAACTTATAGATTTCTAAAATAAATAATCTAACTAATAGATTTCTTCACCTAAGTATAATATAATTAATAATATAACTATAATACGCTTATAAATAACGTGTGATTATTATCAGCACTAATTCGTATGGAAATCAGAATTATCATAATTTACAAATATATATTTTTAAATATAAGTACTCACTGTGTGAAGTGTATTATATTTGAAGAGAAGTTAACATATTATGATATGACATACATATAAAAACTGAGTGATGCGCAATTGAATGAATGTAGAGTTACGCATTATACTTCTCTTTATGTTTAAGCGTAATGCATATATCTTATTGAAGTTTTATCTAGATACATTTTCATCTGTATTTATTAAATTGTACGATTACAGTGCACCTTCTTGTACGTAGAAAAATCTCAATTTCGTAGTGTTACGTTAAAGATGCTTTGATAACGCTCAGATAGTTTCAATTAAACTACGAATATCCTGTAATACTCAATCGTTTTTTTATTTACAGTACAGTTATTAGATGACTAATGCCCGATTTAACCAACAACCCATAAGCTACCACCTACGTATGGGATCCCTAGCTTAAAAGTCCCCTAAACTAGCCCCTAAATTAAATTTCGTTTTACGATCGTCTTTAAGCCCATATTTAGGGGGCCTTTTCATATTTAGGTGACCTCTAACTGTCGGTGAAACAGAAACTGTCCCCTAACAGCCCCCTAACCATGCTTAGGGGATCCCATAAACTTATTTGACGTTGGTGAAATCGGGCATAAGACACTGGTATATAAAAACATTATACAAGACGAATAAACGTTATTATTATTGTTTATGTTTAAAATCCAATAGGAGAAGTTATACACAAGCTGTACATTACGGCTATAAATTATAAATAGTTCAGGAAATTCTTAGATCGTCTGCGGTACTTACAATTAATTATAAACACGTCAACAAATATTTCACGTCAACTCTTTTATTGCTGCAATGTATGTAAACACATAATTAAATAAAATGTATGAAATGGTTGATTCAATAGAGTTAATATTTGTTTATTTTATTGATCTATTGCAATTTTCTTAAGTACGTATTATCTCTTTACAATACAATTCTTTATTGTATGCGTGTTTACATTCATTTGAATAGGTTATCTATTTTAAGCATTCATATTTACCTTTTTCCTGGGCCGGCTCGCCGGGGGCACCTTGCGTAGATTCGGATGTGTTATCACCGCTCTCTGACGGCCCATCAGAATCCTTATCGCCATCTGAAGCAGCCATAACAAGACGTTTATCAAACCGGGTCATCTATTTACGACGTAATAGTATCAATATAATAAATTGTCATAAATGTAAACAAGCCCATTCAAAACAACGTAATGCAGATAAACTAGTTAACCGAACCGTGATACCACCGCTTCAGGAATTCAAAACTGAACATTCTTGAACAGCTGTACTAACGCAATGTCCATTATATCAGTACACTTATCGCACGTGATAAAACATTAATATCACTTCAATTAGGGTAACATAGTATGTTAGAAGAGGTACCGGGGAGTAATTAATGAGTGCACCAATGACCAATTTAGCTTGTTATAATGAAAATAGACGTTCGCGGCGCGCTTCGTGGACAACGCGTCCGCGCTTTCAAAATGCAGTTTGATACTGTTGTTAATTCTGTTTGACGTGCAAATAGAGAAAAAAATGTTTCATGACAACGTCACACGCGATACCAAGGCTAAATAAATACGCTTTGCTCAACCGAGGCTGATTGAGGTTAAATTTTTGTTTGAGGTTATGTTTTTGTTTATAGTACTATTTTCAATATAAAAATCATCATCGCTTCTAATTATATTTTTAAAATTATTTACTATTTATTATATATATATATATATATATATATATATATATATATATATATATATCTTAATATATATATTTCTTGTGTGCGTGTGTATGTGACTGAACTCCTCCTAAACGACTGGACCAATTTTGATGAAATTTTTTGTGTGTGTTCAAGGGGATCTGGGAATGGTTTAGATTCACAATTTGAATAATAATTTTCATCAAAAAAATTATTAAAAAAAGTTTGAAATTTTCAAATTAAAGACGTGTAGACAGGACAACGTCTGTCGGGTCCGCTAGTATATATATATATATAAGATATTCAATGACAATATAAATTTCATATTTACATAATATATATGCCTGCGACATTGGTTAAATAGAATTATAAATTATATAAGTAATTACGCATTACTACACAATTAAATAGTGATAAGGTGAACTTTACCTACAAACATTTATCTCGGAAGTGTTGACATTTGCTTTAGATGTTAGAAGAATATTATTATTCGTTCCATTATCTTATTTATTATTAGAATAGTATGTATACTCGAATACATAAAAATACCAGAAATGGGTAGCGATGATAATAGTACTTACTCAAGTAGAAACTTTGGTTCATTAATATTTGAAAAAAGTAATGAAAATTTTATTGCTATTAAACAAAATGTAACTTTCAGTTTCATTTTTTATATCAAATAAACGGCACCACTACACAGTTCTGTCTACGATGTTGCAATCAACCACCGACTTAAATAGGTACATTATGAAATGTTTAAAGAAAGTAATGTAAAGTTAACAATGTAACAATTGTTAGCAAAGCTTCAAATTGAAGGTCAGTGGCGCTAATCATTTTCTCGTTTGAACGATTCGTCACAGCTTGAGCTATCATATAAGTATTATAGCTGTTGACTAATGAACACTGCAGTTGAAGGGTTTGAAAATACTGAGTGTCAGATATTTGAAATACAATAAAATAAAATTACTAATTAATATGTACAAAGCGTTTAACAACAATAGAGTTTAATATAATATGTATATAGCACAACGCCTAAAAGATTTCGCCAAAAAGTATGTATGTAATATTAAAAAAAAATTTGGTACCTATTATGTTGGTATGTACATACATACTCGTATAATATTAAATGGTAAATACTAATCACCCAACAAACGTTATCCTGTTCAAATTTTAATAAATTTGATCGTTTGAGTTCACACAAAATTTCTATACAAAAAAACATATTCAACTTTTTCCAAATTTCCTAACTTTCCGGATAACTTATCCAAAATTATTTTAGGCATAATTTTTTTTTTATTTATAGCTAGCTACTCACCCTCGCGTCGCTTTGCTCGAGTTCGTCTCTAGGTACATTTTACCGGTTAGTATGGAATAGATAGATCATAATTATATTATATATAGCCTATAGCCTTCATCAATAAATGGGCTGTCTAATGCAAAAAGAATTTTTCAAATCGGACTAGTAATCCTGAGGTTAGCGCGTTCAAACAAACAAACTCTGCCTCTTTATAATATTAGTATAGAAGATAGGCATACATATGTATAATATATATTATTATAAATAATATTTATTTTATTACTGCGGTAAGACTTAATGGTAGTTGAGCCCAAGAGGGGATTTTTGAAGTTACTCAAGCGCGGCAGATTAACATAAGGGAGGATACCTCATACTTTGCACTGTGTTGAGTACCTTCGCCATAATATAAGTTCCCTATATAATGGCGTGCGTCTAGGGAAGCCGATCAAAATATTTAAAAAATATTTTGATAAGGTAGAAATACTTAAAACCGTCCGGTTAAGATATGGTGGGCTATGTACATCCCGAAAAGAGTGCAATTCAATAATCTGCCGATTTGCAAAAGCCGAAGAGTCCAAAAACTGACTATAAAGTTTATGTTGATTTTTCCTTACGTTAATCTGCAGCGCTTGAGTAACTGCAAAAATCTTGGGCTCTCCTACTATAAGTAATAAGTTTACGATAGTTAAAATGCGGAGTCAAAGCGACTGCCCATCATTATTATTTATGTTTAAGCATAATATTATTACATATAATTATTAGTAGGTATATTAACTAGTAGGTAGGGCAGTGGTAGCCCAGTGGTAACGCGATCGCTTGGGAAACCGAATGAAGTCTCGCACCTCTGATATTTTCATGTGCGAATCATTTCCAACATGATTACCACTTATCTTAACGGTGAAGGAAAACATCGTGAGGAAACCTGCATGTCTGAGAGAATCTAGCAAGTTTTCAAAAGACATGTGAAGTCCGCCAACCCGCACTTGGCCAGCGTGGTGGACTATGGCCTGATTCCCCTCGTGCTGAAGGGAGGCCCGTGCCCAGCAGTGGGACGTTAAAAAAAGGGCTGAATACATATTAACTAACTTCTAATGTGGCGAAACGCATTTAAAATAACTATGACTGAAAAATATTATCTATTTTATTATGTATTGTTTTATTATTATTAATTGTTAGTTAAGCCTTTCGTTTATATATTCTATTGGTTTTCAAAAATTACGCAAACGCCTACAGTAAAATAATTGTACACTAAGTAACTTTGACCTAAAAATTTATTCAGGCGTCAAAATATGGCAAAAATTGAGGATCAAAAATGGAAATAGCTGATTTTTTTACTTAATAGTCTAAACCAGTACTATAAACGGAAAAGATTAAATTTTTTGTACATTTGTTTGTAATGTATAAACTTAAACCTACTTAACCGATTTTAAAAATTCTTTCACTTATAGAAAACTACATTATCAGCGAGTATCATAGGCTGTACTTTATTTAAAAAAAAATAATTACGAGATCCCTATGAAAATTACAATAATTTAAAAAACATTTTCCTATAAAAGTCATTATTTGGCGTGCGCTGCGAAAACTATTGATGATAGAATATATTACTACATGTTTATAGCTTGCTTCTCCATACAAACTTTGATTTCCATTTTCACCCCCTTAACAGATGATTTCCTGTATAAAAAGTATCCTATGTCCTTCCCAGGGTCTCAAACTATCTCCTTACTAAATTTCATCTAAATCTGTTCAGTAGATCCAGAGAATACCCCCTACAACGTCACAAACTCACAAATTCACAATCTCACAAACTTTACCTCTTTATAATATTAGTATAGACGACATTACTCACAAAAAAAGTCCGCGAAGATGTCTAACTACATATTATTAATACTTAGTTAAGTCACAAATTCACAATAGCTGTCTTTTGTTCAAATTATTCAATCAGAAAATGGGTAGAATCGAATCCTTATTCAGCTGAAGATTTTGAGATTATAAGAATGTAAATTCCTCTATAAATTATTCGAAATGAACTTTAAATATTTCCAAGTTACGAAGGGTATAAAAATGCTAAAAGTAAGAAAAGCGTCGCGGTGTGAGCAAATAACCCTATTAGTACAGAAAGTTTGTAATTAAATCTTATTTTATCTTTATAATATTAGTTTAGATATTACAAAAATCACCTAAAGAGTAGTGACGCAATCGAGTGAAGCGATGCGAAGTCACTAGTAAGTAATTGATATCTTAGATTCCAGATCATTTTAAAATATCATATTTTTTTATTAAATCGGAACCGGCATTTTGAATTTTAAATGATTAATGAGGTTTAATATTTGAGTCATTGTGTATACAAAATTATATAATACTAGCGGACCCGACAGACGTTGTCCTGTCTACACGTCTTTAATTTGAAAATTTCAAACTTTTTTTAATAATGTTTTTGATGAAAATTATTATTCAAATTGTGAATCTAAACCATTCCCAGATCCCCTTGAACACACACAAAAAATTTCATCAAAATTGGTCCAGTCGTTTAGGAGGAGTTCAGTCACATACACACGCACACAAGAAATATATATATTAAGATTATGCTTTGCTCTGTTTTTATCCTATAAGTAAACGAAACATAATACTCAATAAATAATATTAAAATTTTATAATCATCATACACTGTTTTCATGTACTATTTAAATCTATTGCGTACGTCTATTTGCGCATATTTTTTTATGATATCACATCAGTTCTAATCTTTAGAAAACATATGTTTGTTGATAACGTCACATGCTAACAGATTTTCGATTATTTTTGTACTTGCCTTTCCACAGGATTTTAATTAAACCGTGGCATCGATCGGGATCTAACGGTGCTTGTAGCGGAAGGACGAACGAGAGTTAACCTACTCTTGAGATGTAAATATAAACAATTTAAGAGTAATACTTTGTTAGATTTACGCGAATATTTGACATTTTAAATAAAACTGGGTTTTATTTAAAATTTAAGAGTAATTTAAATTTTTAATATATGAAAATGAACCGTCGATTTAAGGATCATTAAAACTTTCACTTACGATTTCGGTTTTTTTTCGCGAATTGATTCAAATTAATTATTGTATAATTTGTGGACTGAGTTGAAAATATATAATACTTTTTGAGACGTCTACAACCTTAGACCTTAGACTCTCCCGTAACCATGATTAAATAAATAAATATGTTAGGACATTAACACACAGCACCATCTAATTCCATTTCCATATCATTTCCATACCATACCATATCCATTCCCAGTGGCTTGTGTTATGGATACCAGATAGTTGATACACTACACCTACATAACTTTAAATACATACATATTTATAAATATAAACACGCATGACTGGAGTATAAAAATTCGTGTTCATCACACAAATGAATGACCCAGCGGGACTCGAACCCGCGACCGCTGGCACAGCAAGTTGGGTCACTACAAACCGAGTCAAACATGTCGTCAAATGTCGATTGCTGTACAATATTGGAAACTTCGAAAGCCAAAAATCTAGATAAATCAACAAAAATCCGAAAAGATAGTTACATTTAATAGATTTATGATGATTTTTTTATAGCAATAATATATGTTTGATTGTCAACCGACTTCAAAAAGGAGGAGGTTCTCAATTCGACTGTATGTTTTTTTTTATCACGCGATATAATTTTTGGCTAGGACAGATACATTATAATATAAACAAATAAAAAATAACAGTTGTATGGATAAAATAGTTGAATTGTTTCACTTTTATATTCAGTCAGATATATAGATATAGAATAGTATAGTTTATAGATAACTTTAATTTGATTATTGATAAATCAGTCCTAAGACGTATTTGAACGATTCATAACATTGAAATTCCTAACACGAACTAGGATTTGTTTGTCAATAAGACTGAAATATAACTGTTTTAGCATATTTGATTTTTAACTAGTGACATACGCTCGTTTCGTTCGGGTACGTCCCTAGGCACGTTCTAAATAGATATGAATAGTTATTGCGATTGTACCTTAGGAGAAAGACTTATTGCATATTTTTCTCTAGGTCTTATAAAAAACCTACAATTTTCTAGTACATGTTCTGATGTATCCCTTAAGGTTTAGCCAGCCCAGGAGAATGGATTTTCCCGTGGGAATGAAACATTTTTGTGTAGTAAAAGTTATCGTAATTGCTGACCCGAGTAAATAATCACTACACAAAATTTAGTAAAAATCGGTCAAGTACTTTTTGGGTAAAACACGAACACATAAACAAACACACAGGCAAACAAAATTGTTAATAACTTTTGTTTTGGGATCTACATTCTGTACACAATACGTTACAGTCATTGTTTTTAAATATCAATCAATGTCAATATTTCACGTACAGATTTCGCTAGTTACTGTTTTATTATATGTAAAGATTTACCATAAACTTTTAGGCATATCCTGTGTATCGCAAATCTAAAAGTACACAATATGTATGGATAATATGTTACATGTTAAAAGTATATTATGTTATAATAGTGTATTCGTTTACCCACCTTTCTTCTTATCGGGCACAAGCAGCGTTTGCCCGGGGAAGATGAACTGCGTAGCGAGTCGGTTCAGCTTTGTGAGCTCGGAGGGGGTCGTGTCGAAGCGGGCGGCGAGCGACGTAAGCGTATCTCGGTCGCGAACCTACAAATAACAAAACGTTTGCGATTTTATTGAATACTTTTATTTGCTTAGTAGGCACCTATGCCTTAATATTAGACTTTTCTAATATTAAGACTTTAGTACTTAGCATCTGATATGATCTACTGTCTAAAAGTACATATGTTAGTAACCAAACAAGTAATCTGTTACTTATTGTTAGACGTTTAGGAAACATTTAAAGCAGTATTTAGATGCCTATGTATTGGCCCGATTAGAAAGACATATGTAAGTACAATGTAAAATTCTATATGAATAAAATAAAAATTCGTAAACAACACGTTATGAAATGTGATATCATCATTACTTAAAATTACTGTTGTGTACTCGTTAAATCATAATGTTATTGAATGTAAATTTTATAAAGTCTTATCCCATACAATATATTTAAATTACATACTATATACGTCACTGTTTTGATGGGTGGTGGTGGAGGAAGTCTCTTGGCTTGCTCGTCATCATCTGTAACAAAAAAATACAATTAATGCATAGTAACAATCGAAAAGACGGGACAAAGCAATTAAGACAATGTCTACAATAATAAATAATAAACATCAATGATAATAAAACATATTTTTATAATATCACTAAACGTGTACACACGGATGTATTGAATATTCAAAGAAATATTTAACCCTGGCTGCCCGTGTGGTAGGCAAGTACTAATAAACAGATTTTGACCATTGTTGTACTGTACGCTTACAGTATATATTATATACACAGCCTACAAATTGGGTACTATTGAAAATGCCTGATAAGCTACGCTGCACCATTACATCTAGCTCGCACTATTACATCATTATCGCTGTGTACTCTATGATTATACTCTTTTTGTGGTAATTAACTCCTCTTGAAAGTTGTAGCGTGATGGTAGCCTAAACCTTATTAAATAGCCACTAGCCAGTGACCGAGTCTGTAATATTGAACACCAGTAGGACTTAAGGTACCTAATTTATTCTCTATACATATAATAAAATTCTAAGTCGAATGTGTACATTAAATATTTTTTGAAGAATTTAATTGAAATAGACATTATTATCGATACAGAGTCCGAATCTATAGTTTTTAGAATTTTTATGTGTCTATCTGTCTGTTACCGCATCACGAGAAAACCACTGGATAGATTTTGATGAAATTTGGTATGATGATAGCTGGTTATCCGGGTCAACATATAGGGTACTTTTTACCGCGGGAAAATATCTCATTTCTGAGAAAAAAATACAAAAACTGCAATTTAAGTGTATACTAATATGAAAAACCTAAGAATTTGATTTTTGGTCATCTGAACGCGGACGGAGCCGCGGGCAGTGCTAGTACAGAATATATTTTCAAACAGCATTAATACAAGTAACATTAAAGTATGCAAAGCGCAAACTAAGCGGAGTATAAAAACATTAACCATTACTTTGTTGGCTGTCGGAACTTTCTTCTTATGATTGATTTCGCTATGTTGCGATGTGAACGATTAGAAATTCAATTTATAAGCAATTAATACAAGTGCTAAAGGTCACGACGTGATTTAGGACAACCATTGGCAACGACGTAAAATCAATACTTTTGATAAAATTATAGTAGCGACCTGAGTTCTGGATTCGAGCAGTTGTAAAATGACAGATGTAAGTACAAACAGCTAAATAACATACATACTGAACATAGGCAGTAAGCACATATTTATGACTTTAAATAAATCCATACTAATATTATAAATGTGAAAGTGTGTTTGTTTCTTTGTCCTTCTTTCACGTCGAAACGGATTGACGGATTGGCGTGATTTTTTGTGTGGAGATAGTTAAGAGGGCTGGAGAGTGACATAGGCTACTTTTTACCGCGGGAGATTATCCCATTCCCACGGAAACACACGTTATAATACAACCCAAAAAAATATTTATGATCAGAATATATTTTTGATATAATATACTTGAAAGTTGGTATTAATGCTCTTCAATACAATTAAATAAATACGTGTTTTAGCATTCTTCGAAATTCATCCCATAAAAGGATAAAATGGGGGATGAAGTTTGTATAAAAACTACCTTTTTAGAGTTCATTTCGTAGTTTTAGCGCGAGCGAAGCCGCGGGTTCTGCTAGTATAATATAGGTAATTGTGATAAAATGAGTTGTTCGTTTGACTCCTGTCCTTTATTTATAGAGTATCAGACTATCTAGGTAAATACCTACATCAGAAAAGTTAGGTGAAGGATGTAATTTTTTTTCTTTGTAAGTAAATTATTATTATTAATTATAACTGAGCAGTATATTTTTTTACATAAAGAAATGCTTAAATCGAGGCACTGTGAATATTTCTTGGGAAAGTAAATTCTTAAATGTTTGTATTTAAAATTAAAAGGCCCAGAGAGTGCCGTAGGGGTTATGAAATGGTTCGCAAGAGGTACTACTCGTAGTATACTATAAAAAGACATTAGGGACGTGTCACTAGTGTATTACTAATTAAACTTTAAAGGACTACATATAACAAGTTCCTAAGACGTATCAACAGTTTCCAAAAATAATAATTGCGAAGACGAATACCTACATTAGTATATAATAAATACGACTCTTCATCATTTCGTTTATGACATGTCTTAAATTCCAATTCCTAAATAAACTTCTTAGTCACTAACGGATGGTATCATAAATCACCATTGAATTACATCGTTATAATTATACCAAGCATCCTGAAACGCAAATCATAAATAAACAAACTTTAGATTTAAATTAATATATACCTAAAATTTTGTTAATATACTAAAACCAGATTCCATTTAATAGCTGACATGTTAGTTAGAAGGTTACTTCTCATAAGAGTATCTGATACACGAATTGCAAGAATAAACACGACAGATATAATCGGAGGCAAGAGTTATCTATACATATAATAAAATTTTAACTAAGCCGAATCTGTACATTAAATTTTTTTGGAAAATCTAATTGAAATAAACATTATTATCGATACAGAGGCCGAATCTATAGTTTTTAGAATTTTTGTCTGTCTGTCTGTTACCGCATCACAGAAAAACCACTGGAGGGATTTTGATGAAATTTGGTATGGTGATAGCTGGTTATCCGGGTCAACATATAGGATACTTTTTACCGCGGGAAAATATCTCATTTTTGAGAAAAAATACAAAGACTGCAATGTAAGAGTAAACTAATATGTAAAACCTAAGAATTTGGTTTTCGGTCATCTGAACGCGTGCGGAGCCGCGGGCAATGCTAGTAAATTATAAATTATGGCAAAACAAATTCTTGGTTTCAATTAGTAGCAATAAATATAGACAAATTATTTCGTGATGCAATATCCAAAACACTGCAGCAGATGTGGTATCGTAAATTATCGTTGTATTCGTAGCACACAAATTTTTAACAGAACGAGTCATACGATATTGATGAATAAAAATGTATTTTATCAGTTCTACTAGCGACCCTTAGCGTCTCTAGATAACTGCTTGATAATCTTTATCTTCTAAACTTTCAAATTTTATCTTTAATATTTTTTATAAGGATTAAAAATTTGTATTTCAAATAAGCATCTAAATATTACTTAAAATTAGTAAAAATAAATGTTATAAATATAAAAGCAACTATATCTGTTAAAATATGAAAGTTAAGTGTGATATATGTATGGTATGGCAAGCTTTTTTGTTCTACAAAAAAGCTATATATAGAGGTACTCCTATATTTTTTCATTATAGGTACTTCCATATTCATATATTGTTTTATTTGTCTACATCGAAAAAGCAACCAAGCATTGCTTTTTATGCCGAATTTTTTGTTTTATTAGTTATGGGTTTTGCAGTTTTCTTGTTCGTTAAATTTTATTACTATCATTTTATTTACCTCTATGCACAGCGTCAAATCTTCCTTCCACCTTGGAGCGAAGAGATTCCAAGTCAAAGGGGGCTGCGAAGCCATGGTCCACGGAACGACTTTTCGACCTGAAATGTTAAAAATATATTTAAATTATCATAAATTTCGAAGTATTTTATTAATCTATACTAATATTACAAAGAGGTAAAGTTTGTGAGATTGTGAGTTTGTGACGTTGTAGGGGGTAATCTCTGGATCGACTAAACCGATTTAGATGAAAGGTAAGAAGACAGTTTGAGACCCTGGAAAGGACATAGGATACTTTTTATCCCGGACATCATCCCTTAAGAGGGTGAAAATGGGGATGAACGTTTGTATGGGGAATCAAGCCAGGGACGAACCCGAGCGAAGCGAGGGTGAGTCGCTAGTATTAATATAAAATGAATCGTACATAAATATACTTTCACGCTATACTATATTAAGTAAAACCAAGTTAGTATAACTAAGTAAAAAAACATCTGTTCTTATTTTAATACAGTTTACTAACAATTATATTATTAATAAGTACAAAAACATACAACAAATCATCGTGTAGGTATTCATTATAAATTACGGTAGTTTATACAGTCAATAATGATAACGTGAACAAAACAATAACAAATATTATGACTGGAGTTAAAAATCATACGAATTAAAATAAGTATAAACAGACACAGAATTAATCGCCAGACACTCCTAAGGTAATGGCCATTTTGACGATCGTCAGTGACGTGAACTGCGAAAAAATCCATGTGACTGTACGAATAATTGGCAAGTGTTGACATCAAATGCCCTAAATAACTTTCCAGGTCTGGTTTATTATATACAACCGGGATCAATCGGCGTGTCGCGAATTTATCTTAATGTATCTCGCTTTCAGCGCCTCTTGTAAATATACGTATATATAACAGAACACATACATAATATGTATATGTATAAGCGTACACGTGATGAACGCTATTAGATAAATTTTCTAGGGCAAGTTGGTGTTATTATTGAGTTAAAGCAAATAATCTATTCATAACAGGCACTGACAGTCACTAATATAAATATACACATATCATACGACGTGAGCATATTATAATGTAAGAGAAAACCGCGTTTCCTGTTAACATTGAACGCTTCCTGTATATTATGGAAATTTCTATATTTTAAGAAGTTTAATTTGCACAATAAAAGCAAAACAAAAGTATGAACTTCTCACACATTTATATGTTTCAGAAGCTTTATTAAATGAGCTTACCTTTTATAAGATTGGTCGATGCTCTCTGCACTCCTGGACAGCTGTTGCGACGCACGCCTAGACCTGCATGCAACACAACCACTCGCTAGCACAGGCTATGCATGCATAATGCGAACAACATTAATGGTATTCAGACAAAACCCACCGCATTCAATATTGCATCTTTTTTTAATGTTTACTTCAATATTTCTAAGTAGAAAACGGAAACTAAAAGAATATTTCTCAAATATTAGTAAAATTTGTCTGGATAACATTTTTGAGAGTAATTGCATTAGTACCTCATTTGTAATTGTTTAATTTATTATTATTTATCACAGAAACTAAGAAATCGAAACACCAAAAAGTAACTAATGCAACTTTCTAATTTGGCAAAAAATGGCATAAATTAAAAAAAAAATCAATAATTACTTATAGCAAATCAAAATAAAACAATTCCACATAATTTCCATACGATGCAGATGACTTAAAACACATGCACTACACGGAAACTTTACATGTACATTAATATGTATAAATTTTTTCCTAATTTAGCCATTACACATCGACAAATTAGATAAATTTATCTAGAACTAGATATCAATATTGTAAACTTTAGTTATCTCTTATCAACAGATTCTAAGAAGCAATTTACGTAAGGCTTTTGTGTGTATGAGATTAAAAAGTGGATTATAATAAGCACATTTATTTTACTGAGCTTACCTAAAAATAATATTTTTCCTAAACTACTTAAGTTCAAAAATAATAAAAAGAAGTAAAACATGTAGGTAGATTTTTAATAGTGTACACAGTACAGTGTACAGTGTTCAAAACTACTTAGTGACTTAGCCTGTGTTACAGGAAATTGGGTGTAGATTTTTTTGGTTTTAATGAATCTATATACCTATGTATATATTAGTCTCTTTTAATAATTCTATAACCATCCATCCACAATGGAAATCCAGTGATGGCTCAACATTAAAGACACACATGTCTGTATGGGCACTTAAAAATTTAAAAAAAGCTCGATTTACCTTCGATTCCTCCCTAGCATAACATAAAATCCTACATGTACACAAATATTTAGACATACCTACTTCTTTATGTATTATACTTGTTTAGTTTACAGTAAAAATGTTAAAATTTTTCGAATGACTGAATAAAAAACAAATCAATTAAAGTTAAAATAATTAATTTAAATATGCTACACAGATAATTCACTAGCAATTGAAAATCGACACTTTTACTACCACAAAATAAAATAAAATCCAACATTGGCTTTACCAATTAGTTTTGAAATACTCCAATATGGTTAACATGAATATTAATTGCACATACTATACATAAGATTTTCACTATTGGAAACTTTCAAATTTAACAATATAAAATAATGAGACTTGTTTAATCAACAATAAGTGGGCATCTAAGCTGAAACTACTCAAGTTGGTTATTATATAAATGTCTCGCAAGCGGTTTAACTGGAACTCGACCCTTGAGGGATAAGAAGCCAGATACGAGTGGCCCGCGCCATTTCATTTAATGTTCGCTATATGGTTTAAGTGAGCATGTGCTAAGAGATCTTAGTAAAGTGGTCTCGCCCGAGCTAATCGCACAAGTGGAGGATAGAGGGCACGTCCTTGACATCGGCCGGGCGCTCGCACTTCTATATTTACAAACATCGCTACATCTACTTTATCTTCTTTAGATTACTTACTACTATTAATAATTTTTGTTTTTTAAAATGCGAGATATAATATCAAACCTTAAAGTTTGTTCGTATGATATAATTAATTAAATTTTATACTCTAGTAAATCACTTTATATAATAGCCAAATCTTGTATTATCTTTACATAACATCCTGAGATATAATAGAAAATATATTTAAAACGTGCAAAATTAACAACTTAAAAAAGTGATGCAGAAGTGGAAGTAACTGGGCAATACACTGTAACTATTATTACACAGCCCACCACTTCACTTGTTTTCCTTTCCTCATCGTAACTTTCGTATTCATCGCGTACCTGACTGGAAACCAGTTCTGTGGCGTTCCTACTATAGAGTTTAGCGTAAATTCGTTTGCATTGCACTATAAGAGTTTTGCAATCATGCGGTCAGCCAGCATTAATCCATTGATAATGAGTAGTGTTTTATCAATAAAATGTGAACAAATAATAGCATTAACATAATAAGTATACATATATGTAGGTACTAACATTGATTTACTCCAGTGATCTTCTTTCAACTTATTGGATCGAAATGAATTTTTCTTTTCACTAAGATTAATATATTTCTAATTAAAAAAATAATACACTACAATAAGAAAATCTTAACATATTTAATGCAAATAAAAGATAAAATAGACACTAAAATGTAATAAAATAATGAAGCATATTTACCAATATAATTTATCACTAGCTTAATGACGAAAAGTCTAATGCCACACATTGGTGGAACGCGGTCCATATCCGGACCGTCAAGGGTACGGCACCACCTACTTACACTATCAATCAATGTAACTATAAAATGTAAGACTAATTTTTATTTCCATGTAAAATAAATATCGATCGTAAATTATTTTCGATAAGTACCCACTTAAAAGCAATCTATCCATTGGCCCCTGAAAATAATTATTACGAAATACTTTCAATTGACCACGTAGCTATTTTAATATTCGCTCTTTAATTTTTTTTCAAGATTCTTCGATTTGACAATTTACACAATATCTGGACTAGATTGAAATAAATTGCCGACGTGGTTTGCTACTTACATAACTTTAAAAAAAAAGGATTATGATGCCAAGAACAATTATAAGATTTTCCCGTAAGTACCACATTACAAGTATTATGAAGCAATCGACAAATGATTATAAACAAGATTATCCAATCAACCGCACGCTATATTCACAAATAGATAAAAATGACTATTATTAATCTTCAATCGTAAACATGTGTAACTAACTAGAGGTATTATCAGGTAGTTTATAATAGCATGGGAAAATTTTATTCATTGGTATAAAGTTTAAACCAATTAATAAAATTTAAAAATAATCTACTTACTGTATTACTAATATTATAAACTAGCGACTCACCCTCGAATGCAAAAAGAATTTTTCAAATCGGATCAATATACCTATATAGATCAGCGCGTTCAAACAAACAAACAAACAAACAAACAAACAAACAAACTGTGCCTCTTTACAATAATAGTATAATTGCTAAGAAGTCCATTTTCATGGTTTACACGGGGTAAGTCTCTTAATAAAAGGTGTGAGGGTATATTAAATCGTATTCAGTATAGGCTACTTTTTTTAAAAACTGATTCCTAAAAGAGTAAATATAATAAGCTATTATGTGAAAATAAATGTGGTTTTTCTTACCTTATGGTTAACTGGTGGTCTAACAGTATTAATACACGTTTTATAATAATTCAATTTCTGTAAAGAAACTAGTGTACCTATTAATTTTGAGATTCGATTTGGCACAGTTACCTACTAATTTATCTTAATGTTATAAATTATTATATACCTTTGAATTAGTGAATACTTATCACACTTATTTTTTTTAGATAAAGTAAGTGAACCAGTTCATATCATAAATGCCCTCTTTCCTATTCATAATATCTTAAAAGATAACAGATTATAAATTACTGAGTTTCTAAAAAGGCTTGAACGAAGGGACGATGGGTCGCTCTACTCCGTAGTACTTTACATAAGTGCATGAGCTGTAACCTAGCAAGTAAACATTCATGTACATATGCTTAGGCGGCTTATTTTATTAGGCAAGCAATCTTACAGCTGTATGAGTTTGGTTTTTTATTACACATCGAGACGAATAGGCATTTATATTTTGCAACCATATTATAGTCTAATTAGCAGTGTATACTGTACACTGAAATTGCAATCACAAAAAGTAACCAAACGATTTAAGGATAATCTATACATATAATAAAATGTACAGATTCGGCTTGGTTGCACCAAGCCGAATCTGTACATTAAATATTTTTTGGAAAATCTTATTGAAAGAAACATTATTATCGATTCAGAGGCCTAATCTTTAGTTTTTAGAATTTTTGTCTGTCTGTCTGTTACCGCATCACAGAAAAACCACTGGAGGGATTTTGATGAAATTTGGTATGCTGATAACTGGTTATCCGGGTCAACATATAGGATACGTTTTACAGCGGGAAAATGTCTCATTTCTGAGAAAAAATACAAAAACTGAATGTAAGTGTATACTAATATGTAAAACCTAAGAATTTGGTTTTTGGTCATCTGAACGCGGGCGGAGCCGTGGTCAATGCTAGTATACTATATGCATGTAAAATTTAATGAATACTATAATAATATATACAAAGAAATCAAATATTCATTTTAATAAGTACCTACCTTTTCCTACCTTTCTGTACGGAAATGTGGATATCTAGTAACCTACAGAAATCCGAGGTCAATGGACTACTGTTATTATGAAACTGCCTACGCGCACAATCGCATGCACGGCGTGAGCGATCACAATGTTTTACTATTACACAACTAACATTAGAGCTGTCATACTGAGGGTTTACCGTTTGTCTAAGTGCCTGTCTATACCCATCTACAACAATAGTACGGACGTGAGAATTAAAACTTAATAAGGAAAATTAAAAATCCCCCGACCAGCACTAATATGTATCTCTTATACCTAATCCTTTAAGTTTTTACTCGGCAACCGTAAAAACAAAAACAACATTAATTTTTAAAAAGTAATTTAAAAATTCATTTTGTAGATTGCTTGCCTAGTGTTTCATGAGCAAATATGTAAATAAGAATCTATTTAAGTTTATATAGGTCAACACTTATATATATATAGCGCGAATTAAACATATAACAATATTATAAACATTAAGATATATGTATAAAAATAAATATTATTAATCAAAATGCTTTCAACATTCGTTATTGCCCACTACGACGAGGTACATGCAATTCGGTAATGTAGAGCGCTTTAAGAGGATTGTGAAGTGCCGATACGCGGCGAGAGTAGGTATTTTTAAAAATGCTATCTGCTTCATACCGCTTTGCATCCCCCCGGCAGTGAACAACACAAATACA